AAAATTTTTTTTTTTTTTTTTTTTTTTTTTTTTTAAAAGATGACCGGTAAGGGGATCTCAACCCTTGGCTTGGTGTTGTCAGCACCACACTCTCCCAAGTGAGCTAACTGGCCATCCCTGTATAGGATCCGAACCCATGGCCTTGGTGTTATCAGCATCACACTCTCCCGAGTGAGCCACGGGCTGGCCCTGGGTGCAAGATCTTTATTAGGTATCAGTATCTATGAAAAGAAGGGAGAAGCAGCAGAACTGGGCAGAGGTTAAACTGTGATGGCGGGCCGGCCTGTGGCTCACTCGGGAGAGTGCGGTGCTGTTAGCACCAGTGCTACAGGTTCGGATCCCATATAGGGATGGCCGGTTGCTCACTGGCTGAGCGTGGTGCTGACAACACCAAGTCAAGGGTTAAGATCCCCTTACCCGTCATCTTTTAAAAAAAAAAAAAAAACTGTGATGGCAGGTCTGACGAAGGCTCAGCCAACTTGGCAGAGATCTCTGGAGCAGATACTGTGCATCTGAATTGTCCCATGTTGGATGAAAATGACCCAGCCTCCACGATGCTTTGCTCAGTCACTGGACATAAGCTGCTCTGGGAAGGGAGTGACCATGGGCAGGGCAGCTCTCTGCCGCTCAGGTGGACCCTGAAGAAGCTATCAACTGGAGGTTTCTGCTGACCACACTTCCTGCAACTGGATAGTAAATCCTTCCTCCAAGAGGGATCTGGGTGGCACATCTTTGTATCTACCACAAGGCCCAAACTGGAAACAACACAAATCTCTATCAACTGAGGAAAAGTTTAACTCTGCTGTGTTCATGCAACATGTTCGTAATCCCCCAACATTTCCTTGTTTCCTTTTCTTCCCAACATTTCCTTGTGTCCACTGATGTGATTTCAGTCACTACAGGTTGGTCTGCTTTTTTTTAGAATTGTATTAATGGGGGCCAAGCCCGTGGCGCACTCAGGAGAGTGTGGCTCTGGGAGCGCAGCAGCGCTCCTGCCGAGGGTTCGGATCCTATATAGGGATGACCGGTGCGCTCACAGCGCTCACTGGCTGAGCGCGGTGCGGCCGGTCTCAAAAAGAACAACAACAAAAAAAAGAATTGTATTAATGGAATATTTCTGGCGTCTTTTACTCAGCATCATTACTTTGAGAGTCATCCATGTTGTTGCATGTAAAAGTAGTTCATTCCTCTTTATTGTTGATTAATATTTCATTATATTAATATATCATAATTTGTTTAGCCACTCTCCTGTTTATTTATTTATTTATTTTTTTATTTATTTTTTTAAAAGATGACCGGTAAGGGGATCTTAACCCTCGACTTGGTGTTGTCAGCAACACGCTCAGCCAGTGAGTGAACCGGCCTTCCCTATATGGGATCCGAACCCGTGGCCTTGGTGTTATCAGCACCGCACTCTACCGAGTGAGCCACAGGCCGGCCCCTTTTTTATTTATTTTTAAAATTTGTTTTATTCATTTATTTTTTAAACATCAGACATTTGTTTTCTGTCAATTCTGGAGGCCAGAAGTCTGAGATCAAGGTATCAGCAGGGTTGGTTCCTATGGCTGTCTTCTCCCTGTGTCTTCACATGGTCTTTTCTCTGTGTCTGTGTCCTCATCTCTTCTTCTCAGTCCTCTTCTCATCTTCATATTCACTTGCTCTTTGACATTGTTCAGTCTCATGGCTAAACTCCATCAGTTTTGCAGGATGGCTATGTATTGAAGGCATGTTTTGAAGCACGTATCCTCCAGACAGTTTCTGAGGCTGGGAAGTCCAAAGTTCATCTGATGGTGGCAACAGTGACCTGGGGGTTTCCCACCATTGCGAGATGGTGGATGCAGAGGGAGCAGAGAGAGCAAGCACCACTCACCTGTTGATGAATGTTTGGGTTATTTCCAGTTTGGGGCCATTATAAATAAAGCTACTATGAACATTGTGTACAAGTCTTTGTGCAGACATATACTTTCATTTCTCTTTGGTAAATACTTAGGAATGGAATGGCTGGATCATATGATAGGTGTATATTTATGTTTTCAAGAAATGATCAAACTGTTTTCCAAAGTGGTTGTTCCATCGTGCGTTCCATCATACGAGAGAGCATCCTCCCCCCACCACCTCCTCCTTGCCATCATTTGATTTGGTCAGTCTTTTAAAATTCAAGTCCTTCTAGTGGGCATGTAGTTTTAATTTGCATTTCCCTAATAACAAATTATGTTGATCTGCTCACGTGTTTATTTGCCATCTAAGTATATTCTTTGGTAAAGTATCTGTTCTTTTGCCCATTTTTTAAATTGGATTGTTTATCTTGTTTTTGAGTTTTAAGATACATGTTTTGCAAATATTTTTTTGCAGTCTATGACTTGCCTTTCATAATAGTTTTTATTTATTTATTTATTTATTTTAAAGATGACCAGTAAAGGGATCTTAACCCTTGACTTGGTGTTGTCAGCACCACGCTCTCCCAAGTGAGCAAACTGGCCATCCCTATATGGGATCGGAACCTGGGGCCTTGGTGCTATCAGCACCGCACTCTCCCCAGTAAGCCACGGGGCTGGCCCAATAGTTTTAAATTTTGATGAAGCCCAATTTATCAATTATTATAGTTTGTGCTCTTTGTATCCTGTCTAAGAATTCTTGCCAAACCAAAGATCACGAAGATTTTCTGCTATGTTTTCTTCTAGAAGTTTGATAGTTTTAGCTCATACATATAAGCCTGTGATCCATATTAAGTTAAAGTTTGTATATGGTGTGAGTGAGTCAAGGTTCATATGCATATGGCTATCTCATTGCCCCAGCACCATTTGTTGGAAAGATTGTCTGTTCCGCATTCAATTGTAGAAAATCATTTACCCATATATGTGTGGGCCTGTTTCTATTTTCACACCAATATCACATTTTTTACACTAAATTCTTAATTCACCTGAATTCATTTAGTATAAGACCTGAGGTAAAAATCTGGACTTGTTTTGTCCCAATTAGTTAACCAATTGTCTCTGACGAAAAACAAATAGTCAACCAACCATGCTTCTTATCCCTACTGTGTTTTTCAGTTGGTTTTTGTTTTGTTTTGTTTTTTCCAGCAGCTGGCTGGTTCCAGAATCTGTCAGCACCATGCTCACCCAGTGTTTTTGTTTGTTTGTTTGTTTTTTAAAAGATGACTGGTAAGGGGATCTTAACCCTTGACTTGGTGTTGTCAGCACCACGCTCACCCAGTGAGCAAACCGGCCATCCCTATATAGGATCCGAACCTGTGGCCTTGGTGTTATCAGCACCGCACTCTCCCGAGTGAGCCTCAGGCTGGCCCCTGGTTCCAGAATCTGAATCCCTGACCTTGGTGTTAGCAACAGTGTGCTCTAACCCACTGAGCAACCGGCCAGCCCCTATCCCGACTGTTTTGAGGGCCAAGTTCATTATATACAGACTTATTATGCCATGTATAAGAGTCTATTTCTGGGCAATTCTCTCTCATTGACGTGTCTGTGGTTTAGCATCAGTTCTGTGAAGAGAGTCTTTTTTTTTTTTTTAAAAGATGACCGGTAAGGGGATCTTAACCCTTGACTTGGTGTTGTCAGCACCACGCTCAGCCAGTGAGCAAACCGGCCATCCCTATATGGGATCTGAACCCGTGGCCTTGGTGTCATCAGCACCGCACTCTCCCGAGTGAGCCACGGGCCGGCCCCCGAAGAGAGTCTTAATTAATGTTTCTTCCTGGGAGTAAAGAGGGAGCCAGACCCCATCTGCTCTGGGAATACCGCCCTTCCTTAGACCTCCACACCACCATCAGCAGGAATAAAGAACTCTCTCCTCCCCTTCCCAAAAAGCTCAGCCTAACCGCTGCCCTCTGCCTTGGGCCCCGCAGGACTGCTCTCATCAGGCCCTGTATCCCTGTTCACCTCAGTCCCCGCAAGAGGCCCAGAACCCTCAGGCATCCCTCACCCCTGGACTCTAAGCCTCATATGCCTCTGTAGTTTCCTTTTCTGGCCTCATCTCCCACCCTACCCCATTTCCAGAAATCCCTTCACGGGACCCTCTGAAACTCATGGTATAGCCTCAGATAAAGTCCCCAATATTCTTGACCTCACTACTGAATGTCCCCTTCACTTTCTTTCTCTAATGGAAGACTGTCTGTCCTGTGAGGACTCTACTTCCTCTGAAGCCTCTCCAGGGGTGGCTGTTGTCCCTCTTTTGGTCCTGCGTCCCTGGGTCTAGGGGTGGGGAGGTGCCCATTGGCTCCTCACTGCCACTTCTAGACAATTTGCCCTTCTCATGTCTGAATTTCACGTCATCAGACGTGACCACTTGTTAGTCCTCCATTTTGCAGTCATTTAGAGACGGCTGAGTTCCTCCCTCCTTCCCGATGTTCGCTCCTGGCCCCACAGTTGCCATCTCCACCACCGCTTGTGCCGTGGCTTTTGATTTCAGCGTTTGTGTAGATAAACAGGCCTCTCGGCCCCTTGACCTCCTCTTCACCATTGTGGCTTCCACAATACCTCAGCCTCTTGCTCCCATAGCCAGACTTCAAACTAGTTGTTATCTGTCAATGCAATCCCTTCATCATCTCATTTCACGCATCCCATTCTCCGATAAACACTAACTTTCTTTCCAGCTCGCTCCCTCTGGTACCCCCAGTCCAACAATTCTTCCTGGAACCTACTGATCCGAGCAAATATTCATCACCCTTCACCCTCCTGGTGCCTCACTTCCCTCCCTACCCAGCTTGGAGTCCATGATCCAATATTATACTCTCCCCGCCGGCTGCAGCAGTCATCTGGTAAAATCACAACCCAGGTTCAATGCAGCCCTCTACTCACTCCACATGTGCACCGCCAGGCTGACCAGGACAGCAGAAAACCCCACAACTGGGCCGGCCCGTGGCTCACTTGGGAGAGTGTGGTGTTGATAACACCAAGGCCCCGGGTTCGGATCCCATATAGGGATGGCCGGCTAGCTCACTGGGTGAGTGTGGTGCTGACACCACCAAGTCAAGGGTTAAGATCCCCTCACCGGTCATCTTAAAAAAAAAAAAAGATCCCCTTACTGGTCATCTTTAAAAAAAAAATAAAAAAGAAAACCCCACAACTGGGCTGACCAATCTCACTTTAAGTTAATGACCAGGTCCTCCCTAAGTGAGACCTAAAAGCTGCCCTGCGATCATACTACTCCCCAAGTCTGTTCGCACCCTCTCTCCTAGGACTGCTTCACACCTCCTCCTCCACCTCACTCTCAGCTGACAACCTCTTCCGATTTTGCTAAGAAAATAGAAGCCCTCAGAAGAGAAGTTCCGCGGGCTTCACCGCCACTCCCCCGCCCACCTGCATCTGTGCCCAAGGCTCTATCTCCCATCCCACTAATACGGGGAACCGTCCCTGCTCCTATTTCAGGGCAGCCCCCCTTTTTGTGCACAGATGCCATCCCCACCTGCCTACTCAAGGGCTCCACGCCAACACTGAGCCCCCTTCTCACCCACATCGCCAAAATTTCCCTCTCTCCAGGATTATTTCCATCAGCACACAAAAACGCTGTGATTTTTCTTACCAAAGAACGTCCTCTTGACCTTACGGCCCTCTCAGACTCCCACCCCCCCTCCACTCCTCTTTACGGCACATCTCCCAGAAGGAATTGACTCTTTACTGCCTTCAAGTCCCCTCCTTCCTTCCTCTCTCCCACCCGCTCCCACCACTACAGTAAAACTGCCTTTGTCAAGGACGCACCATGTTGCTAAATTCCGCGGCCAACTCTCAAGCCCCATCGTCCCTGCATCTCTAGCATGTAAGAGTTCCCTGTCCCTTCTCTGGGTCCCTCCAATGCCTGGCCACTCCCTCCCTCTCGAGTTGCCTCTTCTCGGCTTCTTTTCTGGTACCTCCTCCTCTCCAAGGCCCAAGTGCTTAGATCTCTTCCATCTCTTACCTACACTTACTCCCTTGATAATCTCCTCCAGGGTTTTGCCTTTAAACAGCATTTGGTTGCTGACAACTTCCAAATTTATCTCCCTGGCCTAAACCTTTGTGTGAATTCCAGCTCCTATTGTTTCTCCACAGTCTCCTGAAGCTGAGTCATGGCCGCCCCCTTCCAATCAGGCTCAGCTCGCCAATTCTCCCCAAGCCATAACTGGCCCACTTTCCTGTAGACAGTTGAGTTTTGACCCCCAACCCAGAGGATGAAAATTAAGACCTTTCCTTACACAGGCCTGTGGCGCCAGGGCCTTGGCTCAGCAAACACTGCGGGCTGGTTGATTTGCTCTCCACTTGGGGCTAGCTGAGCCAGCCCAGCATGAGGCACTCCTGGCACAGTTCACCGTGGCCACTGTGGCTGCATCTCCACACTTCATAGGTATACAGGTACCTGCCCCTCAACACCTGTCTACTCTGTCTGCTCTGTGTCTCCTTCCTTCCTTGCTCCCCAGGTGCAGACACAGAGACACATTCCAGGAGGACATTGCTGAAGGACCAATCCTGAAGACATTGCCCATTCATCTTATGGCCTCCACAGCAAGCTGGGATTGTCTCTCCTCTCGACTTGGTAGTCCTCTGGGACCCTGTTGGGGACAAATGCCAAGTGGGGAGCTTTGTATGGCCACTCTGGCTCCACATCACCTTCACCTAGCTCACTTTTCCAGAGCCATACCTGACCTGGGGAACCCACCTGGGCTTTCAAGGCAGATTACATCCCTCTGGCCCAGGAACCACAAATGGAAAGGCAGAAGTGCTGTTTGCTGTGGCAGGAGATGTCTGTCCTCCAAGAACCCTCCCGAGTGGACGTCTCAGCAGTAGATGGGAATGTAGGGAGTCTTATTCCTACACTACTCAAGGCTGCAATTTTACAAACCAAGAATTAAAGCCTGGAATACTCAGAGCCCTGCGGTTTCCCAAAGTGGGAGGATCCTAAAGCAGGATTGGCTTCCCTTAGAAGCCAGGCACATTGGCAGGAGGTAGCCAG